ACGCCGCACTCAAAAATATTCCAGCTATATTACGGCGGTCTGTAAATAATCGATACTAGACCAGACAATCCAGTGATTGACGTCATGATCATCGATCCACGCAATTGGGATACGATGACATTCATCAACCAAGTCAGCACGCCTGACCACACGATTCCGTTTGTCGCCTTTTAAGACAAGCATAGTCGCAAGCATGGGTTGCAGAAGACCTATTCTACCCCGGATCTTCACGGGTAAAAAGGCATATTGAGAAAATTAGAACTACACTGATAAATATAGTCTTTCACTTGTCATGACATGTGATATACTGTATTCATCAGTGTAATTCTAATTTGAATCCACTTCTTAAATACTTTGTATATGATAGAAATATGGTATTAATTTTACATCCTTATCTTTCACCAATCCTTTTGTTCTGAATATTAACCAGAAACAATGGCCCTTTTGGAGGTGGTCCAGTTTGAGAAGTATCCATCCGAAAAAGGTGCATTAAAATCTGACGGATACATCTGACGTAAATATCTACCCACTTGGTATTCGAGACAACATTTAATAAATCAAGGGTCTTCAGACATTTATTCTTTAAGCATCTAATAGTGGGTAAAAAGGTTCAATGGTGATCGAAAATTACACTTAAAAATTTGGCTTCATTAACAACTTTATATAGGAGAGTCATCTAAAAGTAATTCCATGTCTGTGTGAGGTTTGTATTTTCTACAAAAATGAATATCGTTTGTTTTAGATTAGGAAAATTTGATCAAAGCTTCAAAACCCTTTCCAGATCGAATAGAAATATCTGCATAAAGACGAATCGATTGTACGATTCTTACTATGTCATGACCATGTGTAATGAATCACTATCAAATAGTAATGATACCAAGTGTTCGCGAAATGGTGAGTGTATCCTGCCCCAACGGTGGCACCCGTCACAAACACATGCAAAGGAGCGAGTGAGTGATAATTTGATTCAAGTCAAGTCACCGACGCGTCAAAGTTTGAAATGTCCCCCACATGTCTACCTTTGAGGCATTGAATGCTGTCATCTTGATCAAACATCTTCTGAGCAAGGGTCATAGAACAGGCTTTGAAATCTTGGTAGAAAGAGCATGCTCGATTTTATCTCAGAAATGTTGTGAAATGTAAACACCAAAGGCTGAACCTGCTGGAATATTGTTAGACCTGAAGGGAAAGTTGACCATTGGAAAGCTGAAGTCACCACTCTTGTCATAGTCTTGTGGAGAGTTTTTTGTCATTCTGAATCTTTATGCATAGATCTAAATATGAAACAGATGAGGCGGTCTCACTCGTCTCCTGTATTTCTAGTTCAGTTTAGAAGGGAATTAGCTATGTGATTGTTATATAACGATATCAGATCATCGATATACCTGAAGCTTAAGTTACACTTCCTTGACTTTGCCAATCTAAGCAGAAATTCTGATTCATATGTGTTATAAACAGATCAGCAAGAAGGGAGCCCACAATTGGGGCCCAAGCGGATACCTACATGTACTTGTTGCCGGAATGTCTTACCCCCTTATTTTACATAGATGTTATCAATGAGGAATTCTAGCATTTCATAAATTGTTTCGTAAAAAATTTCAGATGCCATTTGCTTTCATTTTTCACAAGTTGATCTGAACCTCTGAAGATGAATATGTGACTATATCTGTGGTCACCACGTTTTGTAGGAATGAAGTTTTGTCTTACGTTTGTCACGTGGGTGAGTGGTGTACAAAGTTGAAAAATCAAATGTTTTGATAGAATGGAACCTGGTTCTTTTCTGCAATTATAAAAAGTCAAGCAAATCCTTTATGTTAGTAATTCAACTTGTTTCTGTGAATATAAAGACAGTCCTTCCTTGATTATGGTTAATACTTGAGACAGGGATTTGGTGGTTCTTTTGCTAGACCCAGAAAATGGCAACAGATCGGGTCGAGCAAAACCATCTCTGTGCATTGAGGTTGCCTCAAATGATAATCAGCCTTGTTTTCAAGTCCCAAGCCCCCCTCTATACGCTTGAACATCCTGTTTACTATGGGGTATGTATCCAACGTCACTCGGTAGTGTTGATACCATGTTGATACCTCAATCTCACTGTAGACTGATAAGATGTTCGAATGCAGACAATGCATGTATCGTCGCGGGGAGGAAGCGGTTTCAGTGATGGAGAAGGCGCAAGTGATTGTCTGAAAAGGTCGTGGTCTCCCGCGCTCTTCCATGTCTGCTGTAAACGTTCTATCAACCTGCTTTATGAGCATTCTGAGCACGGCGATCGTTCTTGCCATGTGGTCATGTGGACTCCAAGCTGAGCCATACCAGTGCTCTCTCTCGCTGTCTCTACGTCGCTGACAAACGAGACCTTCTTTCTGTGTGCTTTCGGTTTCTGCGATCCTGACGATGGTGTCAGCTGACTTTTATACCAGTATAGCACGTGTATTTCGTGCTGCCTGAGCACACATTATCATGACAAAATGCATTTTGTTTTAGTAATTCACATATTTGTTCCCGACACGTCTTCCTGTAGAAAAAGACATGCTTACCCTTCTGCTTTTTTGCCTTTAACGCCAAATGGAATCTTTTTCGGCAGATGTTTGAGACTGTCAATTCTCGGACGTTGACATTTCATATTTCTATGAATAATAAACTTATTATGTATTTATATTAATTACATAGTGAGTAGAACATATGTAGTAGAACTAGAAGTAGTGAGAGTAGCTGTAACAGCTGGATGATCGCGACTTTGTTGAACAGCTCTGTTATAGTTTCAACTCATCAATCATTGAAATTTATCTGTCAGCGCCACGTTGCTGTTTTAAATGTAACGTTCAGCAAACCTAGATCACACGGAACTAAAACACAAATACTTACTTCAAATAAGGCACTGGTTATATTTTTTTCCAAGCACTTGGTAGTAAGCAGTGAATAAACCTTGAACAGCTGAGAACTTGAGAAAGTTGGCAAAAAGATTTGTGTTCGATTATTGAAAATTGCGTTCGATTGCTTGGTCGATAGGACCTTATGACCAATCTTGAAATATTTGAATTAATCACACCACCACCGGTTGGAAGTCACACCATCCAGATCATGACAAATCCCATACAAACCAGACGGGTCCAAGAGACGGTGCTCACGACATTCTTGTGTGATCATGTTTATTCTGGTTCAAATGGGAAATCACGCCATTGAAATAGTTACAATACCACGACAAACATGGGGTCCCAAAAAAACAAAGTTGTCATGGAAATCCCAATGGAAAATAAAACTGGTACCTCGGTCGACCCTATAAGTTTGGTCCGTCGTTCGAAATCTCCCATACGACGATCTTCGCAGGATCAATCCTCTCAAGACCAGGAGTCGTATGACAACTCATCGGATCAAGGTTCACGAACCTCCCATTCCCGAGAGGATTCACAAGACGATAGACATTCGTCCCGGGATCGACTAGCATCGACAGTCAGTGCACTTTATTCAGTGCAATCATCGGGGGATCGGCATTCAGACTGGGACCAACGGACTTCTCACCCTCGACACCGAGATGATTCACCGAACATCCAACCATCTAAGGTTCCTCGTACTTCCGAACCTCGAACCTCCGAACACCGAACCTCCGAACTTGGACCCCCGAACCTCCGAACCTCCGAACCTCCGAACCTCCGAACCTCGAGCCTCCGAACCTCGATCCTCCGAACTTCGAACCTCCAAACCTCGAACCTCCGAACCTCGAACCTCCGAACCTCGAACCTCCGAACCTCGAACCTCCGAACCTCGAACCTCCGAACCTCATCGAACCTCCGAACATAACCGACCCTCCGAACCTCGTCAAACATCCGAACCTCGTCGAACATTCGAACATCGTCGAACCTCCGAACGTCGCTGTACTCCCGAGGTGCGACAGTCACGTTCGAATCGTACATCTTCGGACAAACAAAAGAGATTCGAGCCTCGTCGAACTTCTGAGGTTCAACGAACATCATCGAACCGAACTTCGAAGGACATACGGACTCCTAAGTATCGACACACTTCAAAGGAGGTTCAACGGGACACGAGAGTTCATAAAACCTCAAAGGAACAGAGACATTCGAGAGACTCGAATATGCGACGTTCACCTACAGATCGTTACTCGTCTTATGACAGGCGAGCAGATTATCGCTCATCCCCTTATCATGTCTCACGAAGAGACTATTCAGACCCATCACGTCTAGGCTCGGAGGATGAACGCTACAACGAGTCTATTAGCCATTCATCCTACATGTCTCGATCTTCTCCTTCACTCACACATCCGGAGTTTCGACTAAGAGATTACCCTCACACTTTTGATTTTCATCAACGTGGTGATTACCCATGGAACACTACTTCATACACCCACACTACAGGGATCCCCACCCTCCATGGCATGGGTATCCTCATGATCCAGATTACAGACCTTATCGGTCAAGCTACATTTCCTCTTCTCGTCATGAGGATTCTCCTCGGCGACATAGAGATAGACCACTCGGATCAGCTACCGTTAGTAGATGTCCTTCACCTAAAGATAGGCAGAGTTCTACTTCACCTACTCGTCGTACCGGCTCCCCATCGCCACCTCCGGTTCGACGCCCTCCTGTTTCCTCTGAATCACAGACTCCTGCAACATCACAAGCTCCATCTCAAGCTATCCCTACATCATGGATCCCTAGCGAACTTTCTGCTATTCCAGCAGAACAGATTCGTTCTCTGTTACAGGCTGTAACAGCAGTATGTCTTCCCCAACAGGCACCTGCTGTACCAACTACGGTACCTCTATCTGCATCGACACCCACTACATCCCTTTCAGTGGATCAACCACCAGAATCAGAGTCATCAGACCACTATACCTCCCCAGCTTCGTCTTCTGGGAGCTTCGACATAGCGGATCCGATCACTGTACTTATCTGGATAGCAGATAAGTTACAATTGTTAAAAAGCACTTCAACGGAGGACACTTTATCATCATTTGTTGTGCCTTCAGCCTCGTCGCCGATATGGCCACCAATTTAGACAAGGCATTTGGATCCTTTCGCCGTCTTCGTGATCGGCTTCAATCTCCACGCTTTGTATTGGCGGATGCAGGGACTCATGGCTTGTCTACGATTTCTCCGGAACTAGATGGTGACATCGCAACATTAGCTCCTAAGCGTCCGTACTCAGCTTCTTCAGTGGATGACAGGGACCTCGTTCACCTCGACACCACTGTTCGAAGGACCCTCCCGTTGGTCTCCACTATTTTATCAGCAACTGAAGCACTTTCGTCGGCTCTAGCTCATGCATCTTCCTCAGAAGAATCCTGTATTCGAGGTGCTGTGACCCTCATCCAGGATAAAACGACAGCTATACTAGACCTCCTTGCTCACCATGCGGGATCTATCACTTCTCTTCGTAGACGGGGGGTGTTACAACATTGCTCATGGGATGATCAATTCAAGAACAGGCTGTACCAAATGCCATGGTCAACACCCTCCCTTTTTGCTGGGCGCATACAGGAGGTCGCCCATGAAGTCCAAAGAGACACTTCCCTGCAAGTCACTGTTGACTTACTTCGTCTCCAGAAAAATCAACTGGAAGAACAAAGGAAAGACCGAAGACATCCAACCTTTACTCCTTCTCAACAAGACCTTAGAGAAGTTTTGAGTAATAGGTCTGCTTCTTTTCGTGGCCGTGGCCGAGCACGCCAACATCAGCGAGGAGGGAAATCAGGCGGACGCACCGTCTCCTTTTCAGGGACTAAAGGAAACACTAACTCTCCTAAGCCAGGAGACACTAACCACAAATGACTCACTACAACAGCAGGACGACTGGGACCTTCCGACTCCAGCCATTCCGATTTTCTCGTCTCCTGTAGGCGGAAAACTAGGCACGTTCGCTTTAAACTGGACCATCCTAGACGACCCATATGTGTCTCGTCTCCTACAAACAGGTTATCCTCTACCTCTTGCCACCACACCTCCGACGACGTGCAAACCGCCTCAACATCTGTATCCAGCCAAACAACTTCCAGTTCTCATAGACACCATAAACACGTTACTTGTAAAGAACGCAATAGAGTGTCTGGGCACTCAGCCAATGACACCAGGGTTCTATTCTCCAATTTTTCTGGTTCCCAAGAAAAACAGTCCTCAACTACGTCTCATCTTCAACATGAAAACCTTCAACAAACTATACCTAGAGACTCCTCCACACTTTCGCATGACATCAATCACTCTACTACGAACGATTATTCATCCCGGCGACTTCATGATCAGCCTAGATATACAAGACGCGTACTTACACGTCCCTATCCTGCCAGAGCACCGCCATTTTCTTCGGTTTGTGTTCCTAGGCCAACACTACCAATGGCGAGTGCTCCCATTTGGAATTTCTTCGGCCCCGTGGCTATTTACTCGCCTCACAAAACCCTTCGTCAAGTTCCTACACACTCGAGGCATCGTCTTCGAAACGTACATCGACGACTGCATTCAAGCCAACAAGGATTCGAACACTCTACTTCATCACCTCGATTTCTCTCAACGCCTACTTCATCAACTAGGTTGGATCATCAACCCAAAAAAGTCCGAAACTATTCCAACACAACGTCTCCAGTTCATCGGAGCCCTCTTCGACACGAGTCTGGGCAAGATGTTTGTACCCCAAGATCGTTGGGAGAAAATCCAACGCCTCGTTCCATTGGCACTCAAACAGCCAATTTCCTTACGTCAATGGCAACAACTTCTTGGTCTCCTAACATCAGCACAAGCCCTCACCAAGAGAGGTCAACTTCACTTACGGCCAATCCAGTGCTTCCTCAAGCCCTTCCTTCAGGACGACGATTGTCAGGTTCTAATATCTCTTCCAAACCATCTACACCCACACCTCAAATGGTGGTTAACTCCATCAAATGTCTGCGAAGGAGTCTCCTTGCAACCATTCAGCCCGACCCTCCACCTGTTCGTCGACGCCTCAACCGTCGGATGGGGAGCTCATTGCCAAGACCTACAAGTGGCAGGGCGGTGGTCATTAGAAGAAAGCCAGCTTCACATCAACAATCTAGAATTCAAACCAGTGATTCTGGCAGTGTCTCATTGGTCAACACTCCTTCAGTCCTCCACACTAATGATTCAGTCAGACAACCTATCGGTCGTGTGGTACATAAACAAGATGGGATCCACCAAGTCAACGTCACTTCTATCTCTAGCACTCGACTTCTTCAAACTGATCGACTCACTCAACATTCAAGTTCGAGCGAGACATATTCCCGGCATCGCCAACGTCATAGCCGACTCCCTGTCCCGACCCGACAAACCATCTCCCACGGAATGGCGTCTACATCCCGTGATTTTTCAGTGGATTTGCCAGTTATTTCCGTGCCCAGACGTCGACCTCTTCGCAACCCGCTTCAATACTCAGCTATCCCGGTTCGTATCTCCTATCCCAGACCCCCTAGCCTGGGACCACGATGCGTTAGCAATCCCATGGGAAGGACTACATGCTTACGCCTTTCCCCCAACCGGCATTCTACATCGGGTTCTACAGAAGATATCAACGACCAATCGCCTCACTCTACTTTTGGTCGCGCCCTACTGGCCAACACGCAGTTGGTTCATAACGCTCACTCGTCTCGCAGACAGAAAGTTTTACCATCTACCTCTAAGGGACGATCTTCTGCATCAACCACACTCTCAACTCCGTCATCCGTCGCCAACAACCCTCAATCTATGCGTTTGGCGCATTTACAGAAATCATTGATAGCTAAGGGTTATTCTGAACGAGTGGCCAAGACCATTGCGGGGGCGCACAGGTCATCTACTAAAGCACTATATGACCATAAATGGAAGGCATTTGAATCGTTTTGTCATTCACATGACATTTCCACACCTGCCACGGCATCCCCGCAACAAATTGCTGAATACCTTCACTATCTTCGATCATCTCGTAAACTAAAAGGTTCGACTCTAGCTACCTATTTAGCTGCGATCAATTCTGTCATCGCAACTACAACGGGCACTAAGATTTCAACAATCGCCGAATTACAATCATTGATCAGATCGTACAAGTTGGCAGACCAAACATCACGTTTTCGACCACCAACTTGGGATCTAAACATCATACTTCGCCATCTAACGTCGGCCGAGTACGAACCTCTCGCCGAGAAAGATTTCGAACACATTTCTTTGAAGACAGTTTTCCTTCTGGCCCTTGCAACGGCGGCTCGAGTGAGTGAAATTCACGCTTTAGACGTCAACAGAGTGCGTTTCGAACGAACTGCACATGGGAAAGTATTTTTGGGACTACGATGGGATTTCATCGCCAAAAATCAACTCCCTGGTCAACCCGATCGACTATTCAGTATCCCACCATTGACTGCCCTCTTAAACCCTGACGAAGACATATCGTTGTGTCCGGTACGCGCACTTAAAATCTATCTGGAAGCGGCGAAACCACTTCGTCGATTACGTAAGAGGTTATTCATCCCGCTCTCTGCGGCAGCTACTACGGAGGTATCCCGTACCACAATCTCGTTTTGGATACGCTCAGTGATCCTTCGAGCCTACACCTTCGCTGGCCTACCTGCTCCAGTCGCATCTAATCTTCACGAAACCCGTGCTGTCGCTTCCACCATGGCACTTCACAGTAATTGCTCCTTGACCGCAATTATGGAGGGATGTTTTTGGAAATCCGATACCGTGTTCGCATCCCATTACCTCCGAGACATCTCAGTGACGGACGTTCAAGGCCTTCACCAGTTTGGACCCTTGGTACTCGCACAACAGATCTCCAAGACACACCTGCGCAGATAGGGAGATGTATAACCAGATTTTCATTACATTACATCTCTCTCTATATTTATAATAAACATTTGTCATGATTATTGGTGTTTATTGTATTCATTCGGGCTTCCCAGACTGAGTATCCGGTTGGAGGGTATAACCACTCGTCTGTAGAGACCTTGGTCTTCAACTTGAAGTCGTCATTAGACGCGGCCGATTTCGGTGTCCCGATCCCTTATTTCAAACACCTCTACTTTAGGTATGTGTGTTGAGTAACGGATCGATGATCCTTTTGTGGATATTGTTGATCGTTTCCTCTTCTCGTTTTTTACCCATCGATTCAATCACTGACATGATTGAGGGTTTGACGAAGCGATAAAAGAGATGCCGAGCGGGTCCAACCTATCGTCCTCTGGAGATAGGAATACCCCGTCTTGTAGATTCGACGACTGGATGTATACTCTCTCGAATATAAGTCGTACTCGTTCGTTTTAGACATGCCATTACGCTTGATTACGTTTGAACATGTTACACATGTTGTACCCGACTTATTGTGTTTCAGTTGTTCACGTATCAGGATCTCAACATTCTTTGAGAGTGTTCTTCTTATCCTGTCTACGAGTTGTTGTTTTTGTGCGTTTTTTTTTTTTTTTTTTTTTTGTCTTACGACACTTAACTGTGTTACTGTATTAAGTATTGTACCGCTGTTATGTTCCAGCTTCCTCGTAAATATCCTACGTTGTGATCTATAGACAAGGGAGTTGCGCCCCACCATCCAACCGTGGGATAAAATGCATAGTGTGAGATAGGATAAGTTTAAAAATTTGAAAATTTTATTATAAATTGTATATTTATATACTTATCCTATCTCACACGTTATATGCCCACCCGTCCATCCCCACATCGCAATTCCTTAGTCTATATGCTCTTGAAAGAGAATGAGTTGACTGGGATAGACACGTGATCAGTGCAAGAAGGTCAACCAGCATGCATAGCGCGCATGACCCAGATCTGGGAGGTGACCGTGACGATGTGAGGTATGACAGGGTTAATTAACTTTAGAAGCTGGAAACTTTTATTTCAGATACGTTTCCACTCAGAATCGAAAGAAGAAAGAGAGATGCATAGTGTGAGATAGGATAAGTATATAAATATACAATTTATAATAAAATTTTCAATTTTCACTTTTGTCCAGCAAGAGGACTACAAACACAGTACAGTTTGGAGTGTGGCATAAACAAAACTCTCAAAACTAGGTGCTTTTGCCCTCACGACAGTTCTGTGGTATATACAGTACTCTCAAAATTATTTACTGACACTTGACTGTTGTACAAAAATTCTACACTCAAAAAGATGTAGTTTTATCCAAGAACTAGTTTTGTGGTATTAACCAGACTCTCAAACACAAGTTAAGTACTACTGTCCTACCACTAGATACGTTAAATATATGCACCACTGTCATACTGAAGAACTGTGGTTATCTGGTTATTTTCGTACTCTTAAACTGATCAACTGGTGTCTTTCTGCAAGGTCTAATATCCATATAACTTTTTGACAGTCTTGCAATTTTATATGACAAATGTGTTCTAAATTTATCTAAACAATTCTAAATGGGGAGTAAACACTCCTATCCTCAGGTCAATGATTCGTTCAGCATCTCAACACTAACAGCTCTTAGATCTGTTATAGCCCACCTGCATCGTCTGTTAAAGTATTGTTCACCCCTGCCATGCTTTACCCTTTGTGTCTTTCTTTATATACTAGTATTGTGTATGGCAAATGCTATGTGTTTATTCTGTCAGCACTTTCACATACACAAAGTGGACCCTGGTTCAGGTAAGGAAGTATTGTGATTGTCATTTTCAACTGTAGAAATATATCCGGTGTTCTCACACGTGTCACTCAGACATATTGTTCTAAAACAAATTTAAGTTTCCAACAAGGTTTTTTGAAAAATGTCAAATGCTTGAGATAAACCATATGAAACACTTCTTTGTGACTGTGTGAACGTATACGGTCCAAAATATGTCTGTTATGGAAATTTCACGTCCTCCTTATGTGAAGCCTGCAAAAAGGAAATGATAGAACACAAGATCTCACTCAGATTACTCTCAAAGTTGAAATGAAGTGTGTTTGTTTACTTCCACAAGATCTCTTGAAACAGTTCATTACACGAGCTGCTGCATGATCGCCAAGGTCCTTTAACGGGTTATTAGGGTTAACTTAGACAATGTTATGGCCCTTGAGCTAGTCAGCTCAAGCCAGTCAGCTCCATCACTGACAAACAAAACTGTACCTGGGGGTTATTTTGTCCCACATGGGCCTGCACAAGCCAGCCCCCTACACGACAACACATTCACCTCAGTAATCCATTGTGAAGGATCATGGCATGTCCTTGTCTTAGTTGGGAACAAGTTCTAATCCTAACCAATTACAAACACAGAGTATGTATAGTTTGAGGATCCTGCCTTTGTTGACAATGTTTTGTATGTAAAGGAGAATCTGAAATTTAGTCAAGGCACTGATGGTGAATTTCTGTCTGTAACATATTACACTAAACGTAGAAGTTCCATAGCCAACATATGTGCTCTGTAGGTCCAAGTCTTCAAACCTGAAACTACGGCTACTAACGTCAACACTGACTTGATGGGAACAGCTGAGGGATGCTTCTGTCAGTCTGTCGATGTCTGCAACAAAGGGGAATGGGGCTTGATGACTGCGTGGATGAGGACATTGATGACATCGAGGAGCCTGGAGAAGCATTCAGCACTGGGGACCCTGGTTCCATTGGAGTGTGGTCGCCGCTTGATCCTGGGGAGTTGGCTGTAGCAGCAGGCCTGGGGGACAAAGAGGGGGTGGGAGGAGAGTGGATGATGGGTAGCGGTTGGCTAACGCTTCTGCTGCTCCCACTGTTGCGATATTATTCTTGTCCAGGCTAAGGATGATGTCTTCCAATGAAATCTTGTCATTTATCTGCAGCTCATCAAAGTTGAGGGGAGCTTTAAGATATTGCACGTTAGAGGTAAAACAAGTAAAGCTACAACTATGGGAAACGACCATTTAGCATATGTATTCCATATGCACAACATGGGCTAATAATTTCTTTTCCAAAATCGTTAACGTCTTTATCTCTTGAAAGCAGGTATATGACAGGAGTGAGTGAGTTTGGTTTAACGCCGCTTTTAACAGTATTCCAGTTATATCGCGGCGTGTCAGCTTAAGGTGGGAGGAAATCCCGAAGTGATACAGGTCTCAGACGTTTACCACTTCGGTGCTGACAAACCTAGAAACATAATCGGGGCGAACCGGGATTCGAACCCCAATCATAGGTTTCTGGCGTGCCCAAGGCAAGCAACCCTGCACATCGAATCGCGGCGCCTCAGACGACTGGGCTACCCGTGACCCCGTACATGACATGAATCTATTATATATTGCATGTGCATATCATAACGTAAACATCATAATCATCATCATCATCACCATAAAGTATATAATCCATTAATGATCCTGTTGAAATCGCCTACTAATATAATGTCAACATCACAGAACGGCGTCAGCAGTTTATGAAAAGACGAGTCGACATAGTCAATACCCTTAATATTACGCGTGTCAGCCTTAACTGAAGATAATAAAGGGTTGGGTAAACAAATCCAAGCAAAATATCTTTTTTCAAATCCGAAAAAGTTAGAGTCTTAGTGAACATAGATGCTATCACTGAAGGATAAATTTACATATTTCACTCACTCTTTAAACACATTTCTGATCAACAGTCCGTCTCTACATCTATTGTTGTACTCGCGATAATTTGCATACACCGAGTAATCAGGAAAACACTTCTCAATGTTATTTTTTGAACAATTACTCCATATTTCAGTTAATCCCAAAATATCAAACAAATAACAAAATTAATTAAATTCTAAATTCAGTGTTTGGTTACCTAAGCCGTGTATATTCCATGTCAAGAGAGTAACGACATGACTGTCCTCACCACCTCGGACCCGGCCTTCTTCCTCTCTGCGACCTGAGTAATTCAGTTGAACCACTGACTCGGAGACATCATCATGCATTTCTGGTACACCTCGAGACCCCTTAGGTTTATACGAGCGCGTTTTGGTGAGTTCAACTACACAGTTGTTTTCCAGATCAAATGATAGGACTTCACCATTATCCAAAACAAGTTTATCAAACTGTAAACGACATCTCATTCCCTCCTCTCTGGCTTTTTCCACTACTGATAAGAACCTTTCACGTTTATTCCTCACAGTTAAAGAAAACTCCTCCGACACACAAAGGGGACCACCTTTCAGGAGTTTGCCGTTACGCAGAACAGACTCCTTTGTTCCATAATCTCTTAATTTAACTGTTATTGATTTACCATTATTTGTTCGATGACATCTTTCAATACACAAATCAGAATCGTCTGATTTCACAATGTCTTTGATAATGTCACGAACACTGTTTTCACAGTCTTCTCAGGTCTGTTCAGGTTTTGGAACTCCATAAAACAGTAGATTGTTCCGACGACTTTGTTTTTCAAGTAGTCCACTTTACTCGTAAGGGTGCACTTTGACGTAAGATCAGTTACATCAGTAGTTAAGGACTCAGTAGGCTGGGAAACTGTCGTCAGATTCGATGACAGCCTGGTAACTGTCAACCTTTGAAGAAACACCTTTAATTTCAGCAAGCAGTTTTTAATTCAGAATTTCTTTCCTTGGCTAAAGTCAGCTTCAACTGTTTTGGTTGGATTAGACGCCTAAACGCAACATCTATATGGCTATGACACTGAACAGCTTGAGACAAGTTGGTAACGCTTCGATGACTACCACGTTTGCTACAGTTTTATTTTCGGAAGATTCAGACAGTAAGTCTGCAAAGATTACTTCCTGAACCAGACTGCATGGTGTATGTGACAACACCCGAGCCCAACTGTCAATTCCAACCAGCTAGGAACAAAACCTAACAGAGACAATAATTTACTGTTTGTTACCTTAGCCCCTGTGTAAGTAGAGCTAATGGCGTCAGTGGCTCGGATAACAGCAATGTCTCAACATGTAGTGAACTTAGGACACAAAGTAATGTAAGTTACAGTAACCTGAACGTTTTATCTTTCAATGTTTGTGGATTTCGCTTTAAGCTAAAGTATCCTGAGTTTCACTTCTCGGTGCTGTGATATTGTATGTTTACAAGAAACCAAAACTAATAAGTTGGATGTTAATATTAGCAATGAGGATAATACAGTTATACTTAACAATAGAAAAGACCACAGGTCAAAAGTCAGGAGGTTAAGGATTTCTTATAAACTAAATGAAATGGCACCATGTGTTTCAATTGTTCCATCTGTAAGTGGTGTAACCTTGTGGATACGTATCAATAAGTCAATTGTGAATATTGATAGTGATCTGGGTTTTGTTTAAATTCCACCTGGAACTATAGATTCGCTAGAGATAGCCCCTTCTAGAGGTACAGATGATTCTGTGATAGATTACCTTAATAATAACGATATAATCGAAAACATGTGTCAACAATAAGTCTCCAAAGACCGATCCGAAACGAATAAATATCGTCGACATGTGTAAAAACACAACCCATGCTTATTTCAAACGGGAGTTTCGGAAAAGATAAATATATGGGCGCTGTCACTTGCACAGACTGCAGTATTCTTGACTAAACTCTTGTATCGAATGAAGCACTGTGCTTGTAAACACAGAAGGAAGGACACTGGTTAAAATAAGCCAAAAACTAACTTTAATAAATGGTATGCCCAAGATTGTCGTGATATGAAAAAACTGTACAGGAAAAAGAAGACATTCAAAAGATAAGAAAAAAACAAAGACTATAAAAACCCATTAAAGAAGAAATATTCAAATTATTTGCACAATATGGGTGAGTGAATGAGTATGGTTTTACGCCACTTTTAGCAATATTCCAGAAATATCACAGCAGGGGACACCAGAAATGGGCTTCACACATTGTACTCATGTCGGGAATCGAACGCCGGTCTTCGGGGTGACGAGCGAACGCTTTAACCACAAAGCTACCCGACCGCCCCTGCACAATATAAAGGGCGAGTTTTCCCATATGGCATCATGATGTTAAAGACTTTTAGAACTATTTAAAGTATAAGTCTGGTTCTGGATGTTCCATTAGAAAAATTCTAAAATTTTAAAGATATTTATAGTACTTTAGACGACCGTGACTGTTTTGTGACTCGGCCTCATGACACAAATGATGATCTGAATGAAAGTCGTGTAGTGAATGAGGTAGAGAAAGCAATTGAAACCAAGACGGCATCGGGTATAGACACAATTGAAAATGAGTATATAATCTCAACTAAACCGATTCTTACAGAATTTTATTACGACTTGTTAAGTCTTCTTGTCTGAACCCTTGTTATGGGGAATGATCAAACCAGTTTATAAGAAAATTGGGAACTTTCTGAAACTAGAAAGTTACAGACCTATAACTATCGTATCCTGCCTTGGGAAATGGTTTTGATTTGTTAATTGTGACAATGGGGTTCGCCAAGGAGAAAACCTGCCACCTCTGCTGTTTGCTCTTTTCCTTAACGATGTAGAACATTCTTGCAGTATAATAATCGTAAAAATATTAATATTGGTATGCTTATTAACTATTTGTCTTGCTATATCACCTCGGAATTGTTTAATCAACTCTGCTTTATGCAGATATTTGTATTGGATATGGAAATGGCTTTGTAGCTTTATTTGAATACGTTTGTCAATTAAATGCGGAAAACTATAGTTGTTATGTTTGGTACATCCTCAGCTACATTACATAAAAGAAAATATGTTGGTAGTCCCGATTCTCCTATACTGTTGCGGTTACACTGATTTCTCTATCCTTGAGAATGTTCATAAATTATTCCTAAAAGTATGTCTTAGCTTACGTCAGATTACACCCACGTATATGCTGTGTGGCGTAACAGGTCGCACACGGGTTTATATCATTGTCAAGAAACGCATGTTAAGCCTTTGGTGTAAACTAATATTGCCTCAAAATGTAAATGAACTTCCAGTTCTTATGTACAGATATTTTATATCAGAGACACCGTGATAATGTTTATCATTCCCCATGCATGGTTGTTATTTGTAAAAAAAAAATCGAATACATGTGGTTAAAGCCATATGGAATAATCAATTATCAGACAGTAAAGATTTGTTACTAAATACAGTAGAGCAAACTTCAAAGGATCAGTTCCTTCAGAATTAGCATAGTGCCGAAATGTCATCATCAAAAGGTGTGTTTTATAGTGCCATTAAACCCTACTTCGGTACAAAAAATACTTATCGGATAAGGCCAATACAGTTGTTCCCTTTCTTAAACTTCGCACTACTAACTACTATAGAAAAGGTGAGGTGGAACAACATACCAATTAACGATAGAATATTTAATTGATGCAATTTATCTGAAGAAGATGAATATCATTATTTTCTTCAATGCCCATATTTAAGTTATGATTCTTGAAGAAAATTACTATAACTGTCGAAATCATTTTAAGCTACACCAGTTAATCAATTGCAGCTTTCCACTGTCAGAAAGCTATACAGATATATCCAGTGTATCTTTAATGTTGTCATTTAAACCAACAGCCTCACAATACTCACATACGCTATGTTGTAATTGAGCACTATTTACCGCTGTGAGCGGTCTTTTTTAATAAAGATGATGGTGTAAGTAATAGCCTTGATCACGGTTGAGTCTTTTGATGTTGATGGCTTCTTGTAGTTTTTTTGTATTTTGAAGTCTTTGAGGTTGGTGTTGAGGGCTTTGATTGATGCTGTGTTTTGGGTTGTCACGGATATTGGCTGATAGCGCTGACTTTGAGTCAACTTTGGAGACTGAGCTTTGGCTATCAAACAATCTATCAAAGAATTTGAGCTTTGATGTTCTTTAAGCTTTTCACAATCTACAATCAACTCAACTGCCTCATTGCTGTGTATATGCTTGTTAACCATCGGCTGTACATCACTTGCACAATTACTGTTTTAGAACCGACACCACAATCTAATACTGTTTTAGACACTGTTCAATTTTGATTTTCTGTACATTATACCATAGATGGGCTGGAACATTACAGTGACATTATATTATCCTCATCAATATTGGCAATACAGAACATTATGGGGACATCAGCTAAACCTTCCCCAAATGAATTCCTGCATAGAATTCACTCCTGTAAAGCGGGCATAATTGGGTGAGTTATTATAAACGCTATACAATGTAAGTAGGTCAACAGGTCTCGATGGGTATATATGGCATGATGCACCCTGTGAGTGAGCCTATGTACCTTGAAACGTTACAGCCTAAATTGTCGAGGGATATGTTGAAAACGAATTTATCTCACCGAGTTTCACTGAGTAAAACGTTTGAGTCAGCAGCCATTTTGACAGCTAGCAGACGACGCAAATGAAGCGTGTTACTTCCCTTTACCTAATGCATTGGATAAAAATCGGTTAATGTGTTTTCTTATTTTGAAACTATGCCTATGCGAGATAAGAAGGTCACCCAAGCAGGTATTCCGATTGATATCTCAGCGAGCGACACGGAAAATAATTGCCAGCTGCTCAACCAATCAGAAGCTAGTATTTTAATGTAAGGAGGTATGGTGCTATTTGCACGATTCAGTGCCAATGCGCATGAATAGAAACATGATGAAATAAGCCGTCGGTGGCTGCTTAATGGACTTTTTTTGTATAATGTAACAATTGCGTCAGTGTTAAGTTTCTAGTGCATCATGTGACTCTACAGCCCCTGGTAAAGTCATTGCAGTGTAGATCTCGGGCGTTCTAGGACGATATACATTGCTGTGGTATAATCACATTTGATACGAACAAATATACTCAGAAAAGTTTCGCCAATCATGACAAATTATTTGATGATAGATGTTGGATACGACGGGTAAGTACAGTGCTTGATGTTTGTATTCTGAGTGTCAATATGTTTTCAATGTAATACAATTATATAGGGACTGCCACCTTAGCCCGAAATGTAGTGTGTTCTTAGTTAAGAAGTGTACACTTTACTCTGATCGCAAAAAAACAGAGCACTGACTATGTACAATCCACAAAGTACATCAAATCTTTGGAAGGCATTTAGAAGTGATACTCATAAGGAAGTGAATTGAATTCACCTGATGCAGGAACAAGCATACGTTGTGTTCCTCATAATAAGGATGTTGACATCCATTAATTGTCTTCCTCATAAAGTACATTATGATGATAGGGAAACGACAGTTCTCCACCAGGAAAAAAGGAGCCGACTTGGGCCGCGCGTCCAGCCGTGGTGACGTCGAGCGAAAACTAGGTCGCCGGTTGGCTGCGAGAACGGTGTGTTTCGATGCATTGTGTTCCGACTGTAGGCGAGAACGGTGTGTTACGAGGCGTTGTGTTAACGTTCCGTCTGTAGGCGAAAACGGCGTGTTACGAGGCGTTGTGTTCCGGTTGTAGGCGAGAACGGTGTGTTACGAGGCGTTGTGTTCTGGTTGTAGGCGAAAATGGTGTGTTACGAGGCGTTGTGTTCCGGCTGAAGGCGAGAACGGTATATTACGGGGCGTTGTGTTCCGGTTGTAGGCGAGAACGGTGTGTTACGAGGCGTTGTGTTCCGGTTGAAGGCGAGAACGGTATGTTACGGGGCGTTGTGTTCCGGCTCTAGGGGAGAACGGTGTGTTACGAGGCGTTGTGTTCCGGCTGAAGGCGAGAACGTTATATTACGGGGCGTTGTGTTCCGACTGTAGGCGAGAACGGTGTGTTACGAGGCGTTGTGTTCCGGTTGTAGGCGAGAACGGTGTGTTACGAGGCGTTGTGTTCCGGTTGTAGGCGAGAACGGTGTGATCCGAGACGTTGTGTTCCGGCTGGAGGCGAGAACGGTGTGTTACGAGGCGTTGTATTCCGGTTGAAGGCGAGAACGGTGTGTTACGGGGCGTTGTGTTCCGGCTGAAGTCGAGAACGGTGTGATCCGAGACGTTGTGTTCCGGCTGTAGGCGAGAACGGTGTGTTACGAGGCGTTGTGTTCCGGCTGAAGGCGAGAACGGTATGTTACGAGGCGTTGTGTTCCGGCTGTAGGCGAGAACGGTATGTTACGAGGCGTTGTGCATTAGCGGTGGTTGTGGTACAGATTAGTGGGACTTGGACCAGAGATAAAGTTTATTTGCCCCAACACATCAAACGATGTTTTACAATCATAAATACAAGTAGATTTACTTCACGAAAGGAATAAGTTTACCATGTATAACAATGTATGACACTGTACATGGTTACTCTGATGAAATGACAGGATCCTCTGCTTAATGGAATGGATCAAAACATGAAGCAAACACAGTTTTGTCAGATTATGCTCCTTTTATAAAAAGCAGAACATCTAACAGAAAAGAAATGTTAAAACGAAAAAAAATGATACATATATTTGGTTTAATGTTTATTTTTGCGACACTATGTATACATATTATAAGATTGTGCCATACTTGCCTGATGCAGTCACAAACCCTAGTATTGCCATTTGACTTGAATCTCTTTTCTCAACCACCAGAAGAGTTTGTCTCCAATTAACATAATGATGACATTTCAAAAGGTAATGTTTAACTGTTCAAGCGTATGTTCACTGCATTTGTCACACGAAGGGGATAACTCCTCACTGTAGAGTTGGAGCCGAGTGTGTGTTTGGCCGATTTCGGGCTCATAATTATTTTGAATAAGATGCATGTACATTATACAGACAAACGTTATACATGTACACAGTTATGTTTCCCTTATTAAATACAGATGGATTAGATATATGTCTCTACCTTAAGTCACATATACGACTTTCGAAGCGTCATTAACCCGTAACCCCATTAGGACAATAGAAATGAAATGCGTTGTAAATATTATTTAAAAACAACTCGTTTCTAATAATTACTTTCGATCAAACTGTCTTCGGGAATTAAATTTAATGCTAAAGTGCTTGTAAAATAAAGTTTAACTTTCCCACCAGGGGAGACTAGATATCCGATTGTAATATAGGCTCAGGCAGGAATATACATATTTATATAACAATTCTCTATCCTTTTAAACTGTATGGTTAACAATTGTGCGTTCTGATGTGAGTTATTTAGATATCTACAACATATTTACACAGACAATGAGTCACACACACACACACACACACACACACACACACACACACACACACACACACACACACATACACCCCACCGATATATTGCCATGATCTGCCACGTGCTTTCGGCGTGATGGCCATATACAACTGAATATGGAAGTAGATCGATCAATTACATTTTACGCAAAATTCTGGGGATTGTTTTAAAATCACCTACGTCTAGACCTGTACAGTTAAATTATGTTTTAAGGAAATAGTGAGAAAAGTTCAACATTCCTTCCCAATTGTAGCAGATATCACATGCGGCCCCAAAAGAATAGTGGTCAAGAGAGGATATTGCTTTACCGCGAGAAATCGATAAAGCCATGGAGCGATAAAGCGATAAAGCCATGGAGCGATAAAGCGAGAAAGCCATGGAGCGATAAAGCGAGAAAGCGATGTCCCCACTCGTCCACCATAGGTTGAGAACATTTCCATGGTTGACAGAAATTGCTTACGATTATAGAAAAGATTTTGTTACTGTTATTTAAACTTGCGTCTTACATAATACACGTTGCTTGCAAATTACCCACAATATGAAAACTGGAAAATAACGATATAACAACTGACTCAGTGAGGATGCAAATCTTTCAGAGCAAATGTCTTTTGGCGTTAGACATGTGAAATCTTTGTTACATATATGGAGGTTTGACACGCTTGTCTTTATTCAAATAAATTGACATAAGAGATTATTAATCAACATTCCACATATCGCATTGTGTTTAACATTATTTAGATATTAAGTATAACATATGTTTTGTTATTTTCAGGATCTGACGAAATGTCCTCCCCATTCAAGTTAATGCTTATTTTTTGCCTCTGTTGTTTTTTCTCACCGGCACATGGTAAGTTTTTGCTTCTGGAAATAAAACTTATGAATGGAAACGAGTCAGGAATCCTAGAAGTGACTTTGTCGCGTTGTCATATTGTTGCGTTGTCACCCTTACAAAAACAAGCACTGTTACCAAGGGGCCACAATGCGACATCCTTCAATGTCACAATGGTTTAAAAAGCGTGACAATGTGACAATTCGATCAACTGATAATGTCACATTATCGTGTTGTCGCCCTTTTGAATTGATGGTGTGCCCGTGTTGTTCTTTTTTATGAGTATATCTACCCTACTATCACAGCTTACATTTGTATTGTATATTTAGTACGAACACGATAGGATTTAAGCCCTTAGAAACAGTATAGACCTAATGTTAGTAAACAGTTTTACTGTTGAGCCATATGTAGATGAACTGACAATTTCCACCTTCAAGACTGGCTTTGCTCAAAATAGATGTTAGTCACATCCGTTGTATATTGAATTTCAAATTTTAGATGAATACACCTCGGGATGAAACAATGTCACAACAATTATTAAAATACGCAAACATACGTCTGGAAAGGAGCTAAGTCTGTGGGTTAAATGGTTGTCGGTTATCTGAAGTTTGATGTATTTAGTAAAAAGACAAAGCAAATACCAATATTGTGCCATATGGTCATAATTTGCGTGGGGGGTGGGGGGATCTGATGGTCACAATGTAGGGACACTATCAATATGGCATTATGATTCGATGTTGTAACAGCTATAACCCCATCGTTTGTCGTCTCTACAAAGCTCAATTATATATGTGTGTGAAATAAAATACTCGTTTGCTCTCATGCACGGATGTGCACTCTCTTTCACCGACCACTCAGGCGTACAAGCTCACACAGGAATATCGTTCGTATTTCTTCACTTTACTTTTGGTTACTGTTTGTATGGTTGGTCAGGAAGTCAATGTCGTATTCAAAGGAAGACTCGTGCACAATTGTGTGTCATGAATAACCGGAAAAGGGTTACAACATAAGGTACAACAACTTTATAAAGGCCGACGAGTGCCGATGATGATTACCAAAGAAAACGTTACATTTGTAACTATCATCTACACAGTATTTTATATATGTATGCGAGACCACAGTGCCAAACGTATGCTAATAACATATAGTACTGGTTATATCTATTTATAGACCCGTGAAGACCCGGGATAGAATAGGTCTTCAGAAACACATTCTTGCCGTACAAGGCGACTATGCTCGTCGTAATAGGCATCTAAAGGGATCGGGTGCTCAGGCTCGCTGACTTCTTTTTTTTAAAATAATTTTATTTCAAATCAGTAGACATATCTGTAACATTGGTACATGCGGTATTTACATGTAGTAATTCATAGAATCTTAAAACATGATCAGATATGGGTAAGTACATCTGTTGATTAACTGAGAAATTATAATAAGAAGGCTGATAATTCCTTCCATTTTCTGTCAAATTTTTCATTGCGATGAATTTTTCTATTTTACATACATCTTTCAATATTTTTATGAAAAAAGGAAAGCATAATGGAGTTTTCTTTACTGGTGAATGTATTTTTTGCAAGAAGAATTATGTGGTTGAATAGGTAGTTGTTTTTGTTGTAGCAAAATAACTTATCCAGAATGGTAATATGATTTATCATTTGCAAGTTTCGAGTTTAGATACATTTCAATTTCTAACCAAAATTCCTTTACAAAAACACATTCTACATACACATGGTATTAGTTTTCAAATTCAGAGACACAAAATCAGTTTATATCATCATCTATTAACTTCCTTTTTTTCATAATTCCTTTTTGGTGTATAGAGCTCTATATATAAATCTGTACTTGAAATCTATTAGTTTACCATCATTGGTACACAATCTACAATTAGAGAAAACGTTATTCCATAAAATGCTTTGATTAAGTTCATTTCCCCATTTATCAGAGATAATCACAAATCAGAGGAAAGTTAGTTGTAGTTATACGTTTATCATAAAATATTCTGGAGCCCTTTGTTCTTATCAAAAAGTCTCTCAAAATGTTATTAATAAAAAAGTTAGCTATGATAGAAGATCTGCCATTTATTGCTTTGTTCCATGATTTAGGGATATTTAGCATTATGCTGTTGTAGTCAATTCACCAGTTGGTTGATGCATGTCATCGTATCCCAATTGTGTGGATCCATGCTAATGATGTCAATCACTGGATTGTCTGGACCAGACTCGATTATCGACAGACCGCCGAGATGTAGCTTGAATATTGCTGAACAAGGCGTTACAACAAACGAACACACAAATAAAAACATATATTTATAGGTACTACAAACCTGTTAAGAGACAGTTAATTGTGATTTGCAAATTTGTTTTTAACATCGTGAAGGAGCTATTTGAATTTGAATTCCAACAATGCAGACATCAGCAGCCTTTAGGTGACATTTAAACTGTTAACTATATAACCAGGTGAGCTACAGTGCCGTGGCACTGAGTTTAACAATACCCCGAACTTTCCAGGTTAGACTGTACTGGTTATGAGCCGAGAGTTGGTTTTGTTTCTGGAAAAAACATGCAAGACAAACCCAAAACTATCTTCATTCTTATGAAATTGTTGTTTTCTTGTTTCAGACTTTCATTTTTTACTTCCTTAATTATAACATTTCCGCGAAAAGAATATGCAAAAATTCTGATAGAATATTGAACTATTTTACTGAGTATGTATATTAGAAATGACTAGTTCCTTTACGTGCTGCTCACTTGTGTACATTCGCATGTTAGATTTTAATTGCTTACTTAATGCTTAACTTGGTTGTTTGGGGCTTGTGTTAATACATCTTACAACTTTAGTATTTACGCCAACTCTTACAAAATACATGTTGACAGTAGATAACATTTAAGAACTATCCCCCCTCACCCCCTCATTTGATGACGTCACAAGTGCACCTAGTAACCCCACGTGACTGATGACGTCACATAAGCTTGACCTGGAGGGTGGGGGGTGTTGTCAACGTCATTGCCTCATTAATATGCAGAATAACTCATTAATGTGCAAATGTATGCATGACGTCACAGGTCAATTAGGTTAATAAAGGGTCAACTGATCAGATGCAATCATGCAATGAATGACTTGACCATTTGTTAACCGTAGAACATGGGATAGTAATGAATGTCCCTATATGGACATGATACTACGACCGGGGGTTGGGTTGGGTCTTGACTCACGCGGAATGGAATGTCATTGTGAGACCATTTTGGCGCGAGAACATGTGGTAAACATTTGAACCTTTTGCGTTGAAGACATTTCTCTGTGGGCATTCGGTAGCGGGCTATGTGTGGTAATATTAAAAAGCCCAGGAACAGGTTAATGTAGAAAGATCTCCCGATATTCAATTACATTCATTAAGGGTCAACTGACCGGAAGCAATCATGCAATTAATTACTTGACCATTCGTTAAACGTAGAACAACACGTGTCTAAAAAACAAGATGGCGGACGTTGCCATGAACGCTCACGGGTGTCACGTGTCCTCGGTTTGAATCTCGCGCCTGACCTACAAGTCAGTTCTATGGGGCCCCATTCCACAAAGCGATATGAGACTAAGTTGATCCGCAAGTGCATTAAGTCATTTATAGTCAAATATAATCATGACGTCACAGGTCAGAAAGGCTAATGAGAGGTCTGTTGTTCCAATGCACGAATGCAGTGTGTTAATGAGTCCTTTCATTAAGTGAGAACACAGCGTAGTAATGAGTGTCCCTATTTGGAAGTGGCTACTACGAGGTTCAAATGTGATTCACGGGGAAAGGAATGTCATTGTTAGACATATGCCATTGACGCATGTATTTCGCGTAGTAATGACTGTCACATGTGGCAAAGAGGGGTGTGAGTTGAATTTCCATAGAAACCACATGTCCAGTTCTTAACTCTTCTAGTGTTACCTATTATAAGTTCCTTTTAACAAACAGTTGCCATGACAACTTTATAAAAAAATAAGGGTTAACAGTGTTGACTCCTAGCTAGAGGTCAGCTCGGAGAAATATAGAGTCGGTATCGTGAAACCCGTGTGTTGAAGACTGTAATGTATGCCAGTCTGGTATATGACGTTTTAATACTGTAAAATTCTATTCTTTTTTCTAAAAGATGTTTGAGTTCAAAATGTCGGTTCAGTTTCCTATTTCAATGGAAAAAATACTCGTTTAACCTATACCCAGAATCATTTTCATGAGAAAAAATAGAGTGAAATAACGTAGTTTAGTAGATAACTTCTAAGAGATAAGATTACTTGAGCATTCATTAACAAAGAACAATGGATAGTAATGAATATCCTTATATGGAAACTTAGGTCACCAATCCCTCATTAATATGCAAGATAACTCATTAATGTGTAAATGTATAAGTGATGTATCAGGTTAATTAGATGAATACAGGGTCAACTGACCAGATGCAATTTACTTCCATTAACAAAGAACAATGGATAGTAATGAATATCCTCATATGGAAACTTGACATCGCACGCGAAATGGAATGTTATTGCGACTGAATTTTGCCGCCTTTTTGCACCTTTTCTCCATGCTCATTCGGGGGGCTGCGTCTGCTGAGATAAGAGTGTGATCTATGTCAATATGCGTTATAAAACTCAACGGTAGTGTTGAGTGACTGACATTTTCACTCTAACCTTGCTGACAATACTGAAGACGGAATGAATGAGGAGAATGGAGGCGACGTGCTGCTGTGTCAGAGTCAGTCTTAGGTGAGTAATAATTTTAATCTAAATATTTTTACAAATTATTTACTGATAAGTAATTAGTTACATTGAAATCTTTTTTCTTTCTTTCTCATCTGTCTACCTCTAATGCATATTTGTGTAAAGCATTTTTGTAATGTTATGTATGCATTTGTTCACCATGCTTTTCACAAAATAATTCATATTATTTAACAGTTAAACTTAAAACAGATTCTTATTTTACTAATCCATTTGTAGAGTTTAATACCCAACAGAAATCAGATATAATCCTACTTCTTTTTTTGTTG